GACCGAGATCGGGACCTGAGAGAGAGAGAGAGAGAGAGAGAGATTTAGAACAGAAATATAGCAAAATATAAAAACATAGTTTAATCATAAGTTGATGTCTTTAATTTATAAAAACAATGCTTATTATCAGTTAATTAACTCAAGTACATAACCTTCATGTAAGTAATTACTAAATAATTCTATGTAAACATGTTTATTAAATAAAATCATATCAAACTTACCATGCGAACCATGGTCAATAAAATAAACAAATATATGATCATCGGGGCCGCTATTGACCACGGGCCATTTGCCATTTTGGGACAATCCCTCATCGCCTTTAAGTATATCTAAAAAGTTCTACAAAAATAACAAATAAATAATTAATTATTATAATTTTAAATATACAACAATATTTACATCGGGTGTAACGTATTCTCCAGTATAATGTTTAGGCACTCCGTAGTAGACATCACTGCCATTGAATTTATTAAACACTTTACCCTTCGATGGGTTTTGTGTATTGTATGCGATGTCGTCGTAATGCATAACTATTATATTTTCTTCGGGAATACCGTTCCCGCGAAACATTTGATACGCGTGGTATAGGTTGGCCTTTAGGGTAGGAACAAAAATTTTAATTACAATAATTACATTTTTAAATTAGGAAACATTTTAATTAAAAATTTCATATTGTATAATGTTTAAAATATAAACTTACATGTATTGAATAGTTTTTCCAGTCAACGCCACCAGCAGCTAACACAACCCATATTTTGCCCTTAAATTCACCAGGCTTAGTTACGGGCACCGCCGTTGCTGACAAGTAAAATACCATCATCAATAAACATAGTAGCTTCATAGTTATGCTTTTTAATTAATTACTATATCTTCTTGATATGAGCAATTAATTAATAATAATTATTATACTGATGCAGCCTGTATTTATACCATTTTATATTTAATCATTTTTTAGTACTTTGTTCTAGGTTGCTTAAAAAATACTTCTTATATCATTTCACAATGCAAATAATGACACGAGGGCTATTTTACCATCATAGGTACAAGCATGAACAACAGGTATTATCTGTTAATTGTGTAATTTTAACATTATAAATGCAGTATATCGCATATATTCGCACCGTCTAGCAATTTTTACTCAATTGTCTATACACCTTAATAGAATAAATGTGTGCGTAAGTTCTTATAAAACATAATATCCGGATAATATTATATATAAATTATATTATCTTGATTTCAAATAATTTTGAGCTAATTGTGCAAGATATTTTGTAAAATATAATAGTTTTATAATTTTTTTAAACGTCTAAAAATTATAAATTAATAATTATAAAATATATAAAGTACATTTTGTTAATCTAACAAATTTATTTTACCATAATACTTATTTTATGGTAGAATAATACAACTACTGTAAATTTGCATAGTAACAGTATACATTTCATAATCTATAATTTTTGACTATACTGCAAAATATATCAATTACTGCATATATTTTGAAATAAAATGATAAAGTTAACTTTGTGGTGGTTATATGCACTTGATTCGACATTACGTACTTTATTAAATAGTAATTTGCCCATGATAATTTATATTGGTCAAATTATCAGTAAATTTAAATAAAGTACTTACAGTATTATTTATTCGTTAAAACTATAACATAAATTAATTGGCT